TTATAAGGTCGCAACTAGTTACCATCCTTGTTTTTGGAAAAAAAAAACCATATTGAAGATACCTATACTTTCTCTTAATTTTAATTTGGTATCTATGTGTTTTTTTCTTAATTAAATCATTTTATTTTATTTTTTTAGCAACATTAGCTTTTATAACTTTGTTCTATTAGCATTTTTAGTCTCTATGCATGGGTTAAAGATGTTAATAAGGCAAAATTAAATATTTAATTAAGAGCAAAAACACATAGGTACCAAGTTAAAAATTAAAAAAATATATAGGCACCCCAAAATTTGTGTAATTTTGTAAGATTTAAAATTTTTAAAATAATACAAGAGGTTTGAATTGGGATTTTGAAATTTGTCCACACACTTATTTGTTGTTTAACAAATTCTAGGGTATTTTATTGTCTTTTTTTCTATTTTATAAATCATCACTGTTTTTTTAATCTCAATTGATCCAAAAAAGGATCTGACTAAATTATTCATTGGAGGAAAGTGATCGAGCCAAGGGGGAAAAAAAATTAGAGTTGCATATATTTTTTATTATTCTAACTTTAAATTGCACAAAATTCTCGGGTGTATATAATTTTTCTTAATAACTTTTAATTAGAATTTAATACTAAGGAATCTCCAAACTTCCATGAATATAGATGTTATCCCAAACTATTGATTTTATATTTCTTAAAAGCTATTTCTGTAAGAATATAATCTTCTCAAATTTTGAGTTATGTTTAAAAAATTTTTTTTAATTTAAGTCACTATTAGCAAATAAATAATGATATTGTTCAATTGAGACATGTTTATGATAAAGTTTCAAAAGTTAACCAGATTATTCACGCATGACATAAAGTTTAAGAAAATTTTGTATAATTTAACCTTATTTTTAAATAAATTTTTGAAAAAAACCATATTGAAGATACCTATACTTTTTCTTAATATATCTATGTGTTTTTTTTCTTAATTAAATTATTTAATTTTATTTTTTGAGTAACATTAGCTCTTATAACTTTGTTCTATGAACATTTTTAGTCTCTATACAAGGGTTGAAGATGTTAATAAGGCAAAATTAAATATTTAATTACGAGAAAAAACACATAGATACTAAATTAAAAATTAAAAAAAATATAGGTATCCCTAAAATAGTTTTTTTTCCCATATTAACAATTTTTTGTAATAATTAGAGAAAACGCGTCACGGATGTTGACTAGACAGATTTGCTAAGAGAGAACCCGTAAACTCTGTACTCGGAATCACGAAATGCTTCACCCCTGCAATAATATTCGAAACTAAGCACCTTTTTTTTTAAAAAAAAAATCTATATTTAATGTAAGAAGCTACTGTATTTTTTATTTTTTAAAAAATTAGTTAAAAGTAATATATATTAAGGGAAAATATATGATAATAAGGACTCTTTTAAAGTAATTAGTTAAATTTAGTCGTATCCCATATATTTAAACTAGGGTTTTAGAGTTTAGTGTTTGATGAATTATGTGATTGATTTAGAATGTCATTGTATTGTTGTTTAATAGGTATTATTGTTAATCAAGAAAGGGCTCAAGAACAAAGACAAGAAACTAAGGGATCAAATGTATCAAGTAGGTAGTATAAAACTTACAATTTAACGTCAACTGACATAATTTGTTACTATATGTTTTTCTTATTTATTTGTCATGATGTGATAGAGATAGATAGATGTTAACTTAAGCAGCAACCTAGACCATTTCGTTTCATTTGATATTTCGTTTCAAATTGTTGACTAAGTTAAGAACGGGCGACTGTGGGAGGCTAACACCCAACACAGATGTGAAACTGGGTAGATAGTTTTCATAATGAATGGTTCATGTAATGTCGCCGTGAGATGATGCGGGTCGCTGCTTAGGCCACCTGGAGTCTTCTTGATGTGAACGTTGAAATTTTGCCGTCACCGAGCAATCAAATCCTATCTGTTAGAGTGTCTTCAGTTACTTACTTATGCTGTCTAACGTGATGTTTTAAAAATAATTTTAGGTATATGAAATAAATACATAGATAAATCTATCTTGATTTATAAAAAAATATTTTTTAAAAAATACTTCTCATTATATGCAAGCACCCCCTAACAGAGGACATAGGGTAAAAAAAAAAACAACGGAGATCCCAGACGAAAGAAAAGTGAACGAGAGAGAGAGAGAGAGAGATGAGGGTAAGACATTAGAGGGGAAAATGGTCCAAATGGTCGTTTAAGAGGTCGTTTACCGTACGGAGATTTTTTAGGGCAGGGGTCATATAGCTGTGGTCCTGTGGCAGGTGCTGCTTGCGTCCGTTCTCTTCTCTCCCAAGCTCTTCCATCAATGCGTCCCAATTTCCCGTGGGGCCCTCATGTCATGTGACACCCGCGTGCACCTGGGCCCCCACCTCACGCTTCGCCCTCCCTGCTTCTTTCTTGTTAGGTGTGGCTCCCCCGACATTTTCAACATATCACCTCCCAAATTCCCTCATGCACACGCGTTCCCTTTTGCATCCTCTCTTTTACTCATATATATGGAGTCTCCAATTACCTACTTAATACTACTTCCTATCCTTAATATAATTTTAGTTAACTAATTTAAAATGATTAAAAAATTAATTAAGTTAATTATTTTGGTATAAAATGTTTTGTTTTCTCTAAATATCTTTGTTAATCAATTGTATTAATTAGAATTATCGTTTAATAAAATTTTAATGTGTGAAACTATTTATAAGGACTACTTTAACAAAAAATAAATAAATATGAAAAAAAAGTAATTGAAGTACTATATTAAGGACCAAATAAAAAGTTAAATAAGTTTTTACTCTTCCGATCCTAAATATAATATTTATTTGTAGTGTAAATAGGTTTTATATTTAGGACAGGAAAGAATATAATGAGAAACAGAGGCAGTAATGAATACAGGACATGGGATTTAAAAACACACAACGTAAGATCCCAGACGAAGAAAAGTGAACGAACACATGGTGCAGATTACCAACGGTCAGTCACAACTGGACCTTCATCTCCTGCCCCACTCTCTGCCTGGCTCCCCTCCTTGACTTGCTCTGCAAGTGCTAATATCTGGGCCTTAAGATCCATTTCTCCATCTCGGAACTCTCCAGCCTGCACAGGTATTCATGTATCATCAGCCCACTGAGTTGGCTAGGAGCCCTATGATTTCATTGCGTAGCTGGAGAAGATAGATATGTTTCAAAACCAACAAAAATAAAGATGTTTATATGACATTTGTGATAAATAATCACATGCATTAGTTTGTGGCTGAGCACACATCATGTACTTCCTGTCAGATATATTCATTTGATTATGTTTGATGCTAAATTTTTCACTCTTGATTTCGTAGGAGATATTTGGCAAGCTTGTATTCTTGCAGAGTAATTGGTCTGTTGATTTGTAATCCTACGTCCTCACTTTGACATAATACCCTTTAACCTTTCGCAGATCTGGTCTTCTCACTTATGTTTTAATTTAGTTCTTTCAACTTTAATTTGTTTTATATCTTATTCAAGCTATACTTATTCATAGAAAAGGGAAACTGCCGTCTTTGAAGGAATTTGTTCATAATCTCTCAATGACAACAGTTTAAGAAATTGAAACAAAAATATTATTTATATTAAAATAAAAATTCAAAAAAAATTAAAATATGTAAAAAAAAAAATATCTGTGTTCCAAGTTTACATAGTAAGATATTCTCACTTAAATTTATAGAATTTTCAACGTATATGGGCCTAACTTTCTCACTTGATTTGGTTGATCAAATTGCAACCCATCTGAAAATGAACCAATTTTAGCCCAACCCACTTAACTTGTGGATTGGCCTTTTCCAATTTGTATTTTTTAATAAAATATGGAGGCCATGATACACAAATATTTTGTTATATTAATTTTATTTATACATAATGATTACTTTAATGATTTGCACCTTTATTTTATTATTACTGTATAGATAATATATTCATATTTTGTCATATATGCCATATTATTTATTTAATTTTGTGGATTTGGTTATAGTTAATTGCATTTTTCAAATTTGTATGAAGTTATTGAAAAATTATGGTGGGTTCACCGTCTAACCTACCAATTCATTTACGAGTTAAATCCATCCAGTATTTATATCCAACATTTTAAGTATTTTTTAAGTATGTCTAACATCCTAAAATATTTTTTTAGGTGGATCTAGTTTCCTAAAATATTTTTTAATGCATTTAGCACTAAGACAAAAAAATACTTTTGAATGATAGAGCACTTAAAAAATATTTTAGGATGTCAGTAACAAAATATTTTTAGATGCTGCATGCACCCAGAAGGTGCTAAATATGTCGAAAGTGAGGGGGATTTTATATTTTTTTTGAAAAAAACCAAAATCTCTATTTAATCATGTGTGAAAAAAATAATTTTTCTTATTTTGAGGTCATTATTTAAAAATTTCAAATTCAACAATCATTTCTCATGTCATTTTCCTGTTTATCAGTTTATATTGTTGACGTCAAAAATGTGTAGAATAAGAAAACTACCTCGCCGCTTTTTTCAATTAAAAACACAATAAGCTTTTTTGTACTTAATTATTTCTGTTATTTTTTTCCAATTCGATTATATGGAAGAGAAAGATATTCGTTTTCCTTTTTCTATCGAGACGAAACGATATCTCATATCTATTATTTCATTCCACTTTATACCCTTGTAAAAATATGTATAATGCATCCAACGAAACTGGGACGCGGACGTTATTTCTCTCTTCAAAATCCATATAGGAACTTTCAGCCAAGTCAGTAATCCCCCAGAAGCATGCCATTGTGCCAGCCGTAAGAAGCAAGAACTCAATTTCAAGGACGCATGATTTGCCTAATCACGAATGATTTATTTTTCTCCAAGTCAATAAGAATTTAATAATATCCTGGCCATGATGATTTTTTTACTTATTTTCGTTCTTCATTTAACTAAAATCATTTTAAACGTTTTACCGAATTTAAAAATAAAAAATATTATAACAATGTTGATAATAAACAATAAACAATAAAAGAAATTACCTTTCAGTGATTCAAAATCATTTTATACAACAACTGAATACATTTGCATAATAATAATCAATTCGTTCCTGCAAAAAATTTTTCGCAAAGGGAGACGGGAGAGGTTTGAAAAATAAATTAAAACAACCTCCTCCTCCTTTAGTTCCTCTGTCAGTTTAGACGCAAAAATGGACCGCCTCCTTTCAATTCTAAACGATATCAATTAATGTCTAACAATAGCAAAATACCACCAGGTAAAAGTCAGGGATTCCAGCTTATACGGTCGCAACTAGTCACCATCCTTGGCCACCAAACGCACATACTTCCCCTCAACTGCAAATCTGGAACTCGAATTGATCTGTCACCATACGAAATTTCATAAGAAACCCATGTAATTGAGAAGAGATAAATTAACATAATTACAATCGAGTGGGCCAACCTTGTGCTCGAGTGCCTCACTAAATTCAGTTTCATCCACTTCAACGCCAGATTCCTGCAAGGCTTTCCAGACATGTTTTCTCAACTTCTTCATCTTCAATTTTCCATCAGGATGCTGCTTCCCAGGAAAAAAGAAAGCACATGTAAATGCACAAACAGCCACACAAAACATAGGCAAATTAAATTAGCTAAAATTTACACCTCACTCGGAAAAGGCATATTTAAAGGAAATTCATCGGAGATAGGACAGAAGGTCCATGCATACAATCTCAAGCTCACTATGAGGATAAGAACTGCGCATCGTCCAAAATAAAACACAAAATAAGCACACATAGCGCTTAGTATTTAATAATATTTAATTATAAACTCATATGAAACATAGAAGGACAAGTATTCATGTGTGATTGGAGAAGTTAACCTAGTAGATATAAAAAACTTGACCTGTCTAATTAATTAAATTTAGTCGTCTCCCATATATTTTAATTTTCTTCTTTTGTAAGAGAGTGATGCGTGGGGTCAAGTCTCAGAGCATCGCCTGTGCCTTTAAGCTATAAAAGATACCAATTACCAAACAAGGTAGGAAAACTGATGGTTACAGGATACTAATTGATTGGATTCACATGGCAATCCAAAGCGCGTTGCTTCTCGAATAGTCTTGTAGTTTAATAAAATGAATGTTTTTCTGCAAATAGGAGATCGGGTTCAATCTGCTTGTGATGGTTATTTAATTAATATTTGACCCTCTAATTGAGGGAAAAAAGTGTGTTTCATGCAATTATCCTAAATATATTCTCACAAAATTAATTAATGCTAATATATTAAAACATAACTTTTGTGTAGAGATAATTAAATATGATTTTATTATATATGTAGTTTTTTTTTTGTTTGAATTTACCTATTCTCATACATCATAAAATCTATGCCCTGGTCGGTTGTCGAGTTTTTCCAACTTCGAATCCGAAGGCGCCTTGGCTAATGGCTATAGATCTCTTCATCCTTGCTTGCTACCTCAAGAAGATTCTCATGCCAATGAAAAGGGCAGGCCCATCTCTCTCGCAACGTAATGAATTTTTTCAAACGTGGGATTGCGAGTTTATTATGCTAAATTTAAATTGCATAAAATTCTCGGGTGTATATAATTTTTCTTAATAATTCTGATTAGAATTTAATAGAGGAATCTCCAAACTTCCAAGAATATACATGTTTGTTGCTGCTATATTCAACCAACATGGACGGTGGTGGTTAACGAGTGCAAAAGAATTTCATGAATGGGAGGAGTACGGTGAGAAGACGATCCTCAGTTTGGAAACACCCAAGGTAATTTCATAAACGATTATATTGACTTATATAAATGCAATTTTTTCTGGGATAATAAACCTATCTACCTTAATTTATTGCTCCGACTAGTACATTGAATGTTAATGTGAAATTTATAAACATTTAAACAATCTCATGGATTCATATATCTGGGTTGTTGTATGGCAGAAAATACTGGTGGTGCATACACAGGAATGATCAAGGTTGTAGGGCGACAAAGCATATATGTTCGGCAAATACAAGAAAAGCCAAGGTTATACAAGATTCGCTACTCTGGCTTCCACACATGTTGCTTTCAAAGCTTGACAGCTGGGCTGTGGTGAGGATCAACCAAAATGGATCCTTCAAGTGTATGAACTATATGTTGTTAAGTTTGTTGAAGTAGTTAATTACTATGTTTTGGTATTAAGTTTGTAATAACAGAGAGCGTGCAAGACTGAGGGATCGGTCACAAATGTAGTTATGCTGCATATATCCTTTATGTTCTCCATATATACTCATTTTTAATATCTGATGGCTTAGAATGTAGCCATTATATATATAGATGTGCTGTTTTTAAATTTCTATTATCCTCTAAATTTTCACAGAAGGGAGGTAAATGTCTTTATTGGAAAAAGAAATATCACGAGAATTAATTAGTTTGCAATCTCTCATTCACGCCAAATGATAAACAACAAAGACCCCAAACAACTGAAATTTCAATCTAAACAATCAAAAGGTGTGAATGGGTCAAAGCAAAAGACCAAACAAAATTTTTTTAAAAAAAATAGCAGTCTACTTTGCTACTTGAATGTGAACGATAATAATTAATAAGGTGGAAACTATTTTAGCGTTTATTTGGATGACCGTTTGAAAACATACTTCAAAATATTTTCTATGAATAATGTACGTAACAGCTATGTATCTGGCTTTGACATATCAATAAAAACTAAATAAATTACTACCTCCTGCCCTTAATATAAAACCTAGATAACTAATTTGAAGAGATTAAAAAGTTATTTAAATTAGTTATTTGTAACAAAATAGATGTTATCTTTTATAAAAATGACCTTATTAATTATGTGTGTTTAAATTACCATTTGATAGTAACTCCTTAACATATGCAATATATATAGGGATCACTTGAGGAAAAAAATAGATAAATATTGAAGGTAAAATGATTGAGGTCTTTATATTTAGAATCAAATTATAAGGCAAACTAGCTTTTATATTAAGTACAAGAGGTAGTATCTAATTCTAATAATCCTTCTAAAATATTCTTATGTATATTAATTTATAAATTAAATAAGATATTGAAAATAGTTCAAACTGAATTAGACTAATTATAATTAAATAATTTAACTAAAATGTACAAAATATTTAGGTTTAACTATAAAAATAATCATCACGCTCACACCTACCATTAGTATTCAAGACGCAATTACAGGATTATGATCCTAAAATCACGCTTCATATTAAGTACTTTGGTCGATGGAGAAATTAATGAGGGGTTCTAAGTCGGTACTTATGTCTCCAGCTGGTATCGCTGTACACACCCTTGCCCCACTCTCTTTGTCTGTTTGCGTGCCTTCGAATGAGCTCAATCATATTATTGAAGTTGTAAAGCTTCGGAAGGGAATGCAACATAGGGCGTTAGGTTTTGAGTATTCAGGCGCATCATTTCTTCTTTTTCCACCAACTCTCTCTTTTCTCTCTTCATCTTTCTTTCTCTTTAGAACACTTTTCAAGCATCTAACTTGGATAATCAAAGTCCATTAAAACACAGTTGTGCTCTTGTAACCTCAGAAATGTACAGCTCTGTCATAGTCAGCTCAGCTTGCCTCAGACCAGGCCGAACGGATGTTGGTAAAACTTGTTTTTGCCATATAAACTTCCATCAATGGAAGAGTCCAAAACCCAGAGAGAGAATCATGCAGAAAAGAAATTCCATTTTGATGGGAATCTAAAAGTTCTTTCCTTTATTTGCATGGATATGTTGAACAATATAGTCGAATCCCGGACGCACAACCGAGGTCAACTTCTTCTGGAGAAACCTGGGGTTCCTATCGGCCATCATCGGGCTGTTATCTTATCTTCTGAGTTCATCTTTTCACTTTATATTTGGAGAGCTTAACACTTGGAAGTCTCTTCTGTATGTTCTTTTGAGTATCATCGTTCCCTACAGTATCTTGTTTGCGAAGACATGGAAACCTCCTCGGAATTTATTTTTCGGATATCACGTAGCATTTCTGGTCTTGTTCCTTACCTCCCTCTACTCTTATTTCTATGACCAATTCATGAAGATAAAACCGGACGTGTTCAGCGTCGTTTCTAGTGGTTCATTTGCTTTCACGTCTTTAAGCTTGAAAATGCAGAATATTCAACTTGGATTCGAGGATGATCTTCTCAAATTTTTCCTGGGTTTTCTCACTGTCCAACTCATGAAGATCAACTTGCTTCTCACTTTGATCGGAGCAGCTTTATGTTACCTTGCCATCGTTCTAATTCCTTGGAGTTTAGATTCTCCATTGGAGACTGTTAGTTGTATTACTGCCCTCCAAGAGAACGTGGCAATAAAAATTGATACTCCTGCTTCCGATCTCCGAAAACAATTGTGTTCCACTCAGCTGGGAATTGTGAATGACAAAGAAAATCCTGAGAGACTCGTTTACCCTTTAGATTTTGAGTCCAAACTCAAGGACGCAATCGCTTCTGGGTTAGTTGAAGAGTGTTACGACGCTTTTGTCACTTGGCGAAAACAGTTCTTAAACGACAAGATGACTACTACCGGGTTTCAGAATCTCAGCATCAATGAAGTCCACAGGTTGCCGATGAAAACTCTCAAAAACGACATCCAAGAATGGACAAAAGCTTGTCACTTCGTCGTTAAGACGCTGTTTCCTCAGGAACGGCATGCCTGCAGTGTCGTCTTCTCGGCGCTCTCTCTTCGGGACGAACTGTCCTTCATGGAAGTTTGTCGGGGAATAACGACACAGCTATTGAATTACGCCAAAGCCGTTTCGACCACAACGCTGTCGCCGGAGCGTTTGTTCAGAATTGTCGACGTTTTGGACACATTGGAGGAGATTTTGCCTGACATGGAATCACTGTTCCGTAATAAGATTTGTGAGTTTCTCCACGATGAAGCTATCGCAGCGAGTAAAAGACTCGGAGAAGCAATCAAAGGGTCTTCATAGAGCTAGAGAATCTGATTCTTCAAGACCCGGCAAAGGTAAATACACACGAGTCTCCATGCCTGATTTGCATTTACCCGTTCTGATCATTTTTTCGCTTTATGAAATTATATGCTTCATATAATGACGCGTAAAATTACGAGCTTCTCCCATCATCTCTTGTTTCCATCTCTAGTCCCTCACTCCATTCATTCTTCGCTTCCTTCGATCTTAAGGCGGTTCTCTTTGATGAATAAGATGGCCACCAAGTTGCAAACTCGAACTTGTTGGAAATTTTCCCATGACTGCTCCCAAAAGAGGACGTGGGTAAGCTTTATGAAGAGCCAGAACCTTGGCCATCGTGTCCTTAACCTCCTTGTCGCTGACTTTTAATTCCGATCGTGAGAGCTTCATCTCCATCTCGTTCTGGAGCTTCCAGAAGAGCCCCGTA